TGTTTTGAATGTCCTCCACTTGTAGACTATTTTCCGGACGGTGGAATGGCTGATTTCATATTCTTTTGAGATCTTTTTGAATCCCTTACCAGACTCATAAGCTGCTACAATCTTCTTTCTGAAGGCCTCAGACAGCTCTTTTGATCTCACCATGGTGTTCACTGTCACTTCAGCAGTCTGGAGCACACCAAACTAAATGTCTGAGGTTTAAAAGGGCAAGCCTCCTTCAAAATGCTGAGTAACGATGTTCTAATCATGTGCACCTGATGTGATACACCTGTGTGTGATTTTAGCCATTTTAAGTGGGAATAAATGTGGGGGTGTCCTAATTTATTCCTCACCAGAAATTGCATTTTTTTAAAATTACATTTTACAGAAAGTTATAAAAATCTTTTCTTAAGTTTTAATTGTTTAGTTATATTACCTGAATCTCCCAGTATTGTTAGAATTGATATTAAATATCCATATGTCCAAAAACACACAGGCTTTCATAGGGTGTCCTAATTTTTTCACATGACTGTAGGTTTGGATTTATTTTGAGAAGGCGCAGCTCCGTATGGAATTTGGTTGGAACGTTTGGTTGACTGTTAGGGGGCAGCCCTAATTAAAAGATGTGTGTGTACTGATTGGATTAATGGCCATGACATTTGGTACATTCATTCACTTTGGTGATCATGTGACTTTCTTCTGGCTCCATCACCACGTCACAATTTCAATTTGTCCCACACTTTGGATTATGACTTAACACCTTAGCATGCTAACCAGATGGTGACCAGATTATACCTGCTAAACGTCAGCACGTTAGCATAGCCACTGTAAGCATGTTGACACCCTGCCATTAGCATTTAGCTCAGAGCACCACAGTGCCTCAGCACAGCCTCACAGAGCAGCTAGCATGTCTGTTGATCTTCTCTGACAACATTATTTGAATGCAGCCTTGCACCGTTCACTGCTTCCTCCTTTAGTCTGCGTCTCAATTAGTCTGAGGAGTATTTAGGACCCTCCTGCTGGGATATGGCTGCATCTCTGTTGATTCTGCTGTTTCCTCGGGCCCTGGGTGCCTTTCATGTGAGATCCTGTAGGTGCGTCAGATGTGTGTGTTAAGCTAAAACTGTTTTCATGCAGCTGTATCTGCTGGTTATTTTGCAAAGCAGTGGCCACAGAAGAATCACACTGCTGTGAAACTGTTTAAGTGTTTGCATCTATTGTAACTAACATGAAGGCAAGCTGGCGTCAATTTAAACTTTTTATATCATTATTTGCATTGAAGGGAATTATCTCAAAGGTAAGATTTAATGAAAGGCAATTAACCTGATGAGAGAATCTGAATTTTAAATGACAGTATCACCAATAACAAGCAAAAAAAGTTAAGTTTTTTTCCCACGAGTCTACAAATGAAGACACACACTTAGTCTGGAGTTGGTTGCGACTGTGCCATCCTGCTATTTGTGTTCCTTAATGACTTCCTAATTCCTCATCAGTGGGTAGCTAGCCTCCACAGCAGGCAGACAGAGAGCGGTGGCAGGGTGCCATCATGGAACAGGTGGTCTTCCATGTTGTGCTTATGGTGTCCGTAGGCCTCAGTTACATCCTTTAGGTGGCTTTTAAATTGGGAGCATTTCAGAGGGTTCAGTGCTTCGCCCTGAGCTGAGCGTTTTCTGCTTACACTGTTGAACGCCTGACTTTGACTGCAGATGCTGATTCATTTGTGGCTGCTGCTGTCTTGGCTGGCTTGGTTTTTTAACCAGAGGCGGAGTGGAGGGGGGGGCTCCTGGGGCCCCAGCCCCAAATGATTACTCAACATCCTTGAATCTTTGAGGTTTTTAAAATCGATTGACTTTGTGTCATTCAGATGATTATATATGCTCATGTTCTTTATGACTGGGTAAATGTTCTTCTGTTGGTCTAATAATTCAGTTTAGAGTTTGAAGACCACACTGTTGCGGATCTTTAATTTGTAATTAAAGCAGCCCAGGTTATTATGGCATGGATTCTAGGGCTGCCCCCGACTAAGAATTTTCCTAGTCGACCAGTAGTCGTCATTTAGAGCCATTAGTCGACTAGTCTCCCGCATGTTTCTGATATGAATGTAATGATTAAATGATATATTTTGGTGGTTTGAGTTGAAGGTGTGAGAAAGAATAGTATCAGTAACATTGTTAACACTGTGCTACATTACAGAGAAATACAAAACCGTACTAATGAACCTTCATTAATATAGGCCTATATTTTATCTACAAGTGCACGTCACACACTGAGCGAGCCGCCTGTTAATGACGCTGTGGGCTAATGGGCATGTAGCTACTTCCATGTTTCAGATGATACGTCATGTTTGTAGTCGACCAATGAAGATGAGTTTACATATCACCTTGGGTTCTTCCTTCACCTTCTCAAAATGATCCCACACTTTGGATTTCCTGCCCGACATGTTATTAACTAGCATGTGGAATAACCGCAGGTACCAGCCCTGGAAATTAACCTGACGAGAACACTTCCTGTGTCTGTCCTTTCAAATTAAAGTCACACATGGTCCAGTCATATAGGTTTGGATTTATTTTGACAAGGTGCAGCTCCGTATAAAGTTTAAGGTTTGTTTGTTGTTGTTTTTTCCTGCGTCTAAGTGACCAATGAAATCTTGCCTTTCTGGTGGACTAATGTTTGGTCGACTGTTAGGGGGCAGCCCTAAGAGCAACAGGCTACAGGTCATTTTCAGTGGAAGCCGGTGACATGAAGCTAAAACTGATGCCCAACACTAGTTTGTGCCAGGATATACTGCGTCTCCACACTGTTGGACGGTACCGCATTCACGCACACATGCAGAGAAAGGTAATTTGTTTACCTCGATCAGCTGTCGACAGCTTTTTAAATGTTTTGTCTTTTTATAGTGAGTTTGTTGTTGTCATGACATCCGTTAGGGTTATTAATGAAATATCACATGCAATTTTATGGTGGCGTTGAAACTATGTTGCTGAGTGACAAAGAAACAACTGAATCATGCTGACATTACCACGGTTTCGAGTAAGTACTAATTCTGGTTTTGGCAACATGTAAATCTGGTGCCTGTATTCAAAGCCTGCGGGTATTTTTGAAGCTTTATTTAAAAGAGGGATGACTTTTGTCAAGTTTTCCATCAGAGTAAGGCGACATCACTCCTCAAATCCACCTCTGACAGCTTCATATATTACAACAAAATGACAGAAAATTCAGTGTTTATGGTTTTATTTAGACAGTGTGTACAGTGCATATTTTTTAAAAGTATTTAAGTGTTTTCTTTTTGCAAAAAAATAATATCTCTGTTTTTCTTTATTTCACATTTTCCTGTGCACTCAGGGAAATACAATCAGTCTGGTTGTGGTTGATTGATTTGTTGCAAATGAACTCATTTACAGTTAGTTACATTTAATACAATGCAGAGTAAACACAGTAACGCCGGGTTCAGACTGTATGATGTCAGCCCAGAAACAAAAGGAAAGCAAATAATAAGAATAGAATGAAAAGAAAAAAGATGGTTGGTTGATGGGGGGTGAGGATGTAGTTATTATGTAGCAGATACACTGACACATTTCAACAACACTGTGGTTAACATGTGGTCGGGTTTAGGCTCAAAAAACACATGGTTATGGTTAGATCATGTTTTGGCTTAAAATACCCAGTTTTGGGGGCACAGTGTCACTTTTTGTGGACTGTCCCCACTAGAAAAACAGCGTGGTGTGCTACAAAACACCCATGTTTGGTGCCTGAGAAGCTGCTAGAAAAACAGTAATGGGTCACTGCAGATCACTCAAAGATAATGATTTGGCTTAAAATGCCTGGTTTTAGGGGAACAACCTTGGCAGGAAATGCAGCGATGTCTCAGTTAAAAACAATCATTTTTCATGGCACTAGCCTCGCTGGAAAAACAGCACTTTGAATGTCATGGCCTCATGTTTGGTGCCTGAAAAGCTGCTAAAAAAAAGCAAGAGATTACTACCGAGCACCTATGTTCAGTGCTTAAAAAGTCACCAGAAAAAAAGGCAAAAGCTTGCTACAAAACGCCCACATTTGGTACGTAAGACGCTTCTGGAAAAGCAGCAGTAGTCACTACAGATCACTAAAGGATCAGGGGCACAACCTTGGTAGGAAATGCAGCAATGACTCCGTTAAAAACAATCACTCTTTGTGGCACTAGCCCCGCTGGAAAAACAGCACCATAAAAAAAGCTGCCTAAAAAGCCACTGGAAAAACAGCATTAAGTAGCTCCAAAACACCCATGTTCTGTGTCTAAAAAGCTGCTGGAAACACAGTGAAGGATCTCTACAAAACACACGTTTGGCGCCTTACAATCCGCTGTTAAAACATCAACAGGTTGCTACAAAAAAGCCTACATTTGGTGCTTACGTAGCTGCTGGAAACACAGCTATGTATGAGTCACTACAGATTACGAAAACATCATGTCTTAGCTTAAAATACCCGGTTTTGAGGCACAATCTCTCAGTTAAAAAACAATCACTTTTCGTGGCACTATCCCCGCTGGAACACAACAATGGGTCACTACAAAATGTCCATGTTTGGTAACTAAGAAGCTGCTGGAAACACAGTGTTGGATCACTACAAAACATGTTTGGAGCTTATTGAGCCACTGGAAAAACATATTGCTATTAAACACCCGTGTTTCTTGCCTAAAAAGCTGCTGAAAAATAGAGAGTGGTTGCTACAAAACATGCATGTTTGGTACCTAAGACACTGCTGGAGAAATAACAAGGTTTTGGCTTAAAATACCTGGTTTTGGGGCTCAATCTTGGCAGGAAATGCAGCATTGTCTCATTAAAAAATCACTTTTCATGGCACTAGCCCTGCTGGAAAAACAGCACAGTTTTCCATGAAACACCCATGTTCGGTGCCGAAAAAGCTGCTGGAAAGACAGCAATGACTCACGAAAGAACTAACACTTTTGTTGTCTGTTGGTTTTGAACAGTGTTCTGCAGCTCACCGGATGTCCCTCCTAGATGGCACGCCATCAACCGTCCCCTCCACCTGCCAATGTCAAAGCCAGCTCACAAACTTCCACTTTAGAAATGTTGATATGAACATAAACATGCAAATGTAACATATTCATTGTTTGCAGGGATGTACAGCGTCAACATTTTCTTCTTGCAACTGGGTCGAAAGGTCACCAATGGGTGCCATGGAAACAGTATTTAGAAAGGGATCAGCTACCACACTGTCTAGTTCAGCGTTTTGCATGTACATGTACGAAAAACAAAATTTCTGTACCAAATACAAACTCTTAATTGTTGGTATTAACTGTGATGTGCTCAGTATTTTATTATAAGCTTGATAAATAAAGTGTTTATTGATGGAACCAGCTTCAAAACTGTCACCATTTCCAGTGATTAAAAGTAATTTAAAGCATCATACACTCTGAAATGGAGACAAAAAAGAATCCTTACAGTCGGAAGTCCCTTCCAGCTGCAGTGTACCACATTCCTTCAAGGAAAAACTGACACCGACACACATCCCAGTGAGCCTGTCCGCCATGACACCTCTCCTCCACCACGCTGGTCAGATCACTCAGAGCAACATAACAGTACACATCTACCAGGCCTCCTCTGATCTCACCCGGGAAGGAGACAACACTTTTCATATCAATACCCTGTCATCTCACAATGTGGCATCTTCCCCCTTTGAAGGCACAGTAGCATTGTTGCAGCTCCTCAGATGTGAAACTCTCGCTTTTATCATCCTGTTTTGGGCAAGGAGGAGAGGAGTGGGAGATGAAGGAAGCGATTTCTTTTTAACTTGGACCCACCAAAGTGGAAAGAAACGGCGTGTTGACAGGTGTGTGAAAGGATTGCTGCTGGGTCAACTGGGGAACTTCAGAGACCAGTTTAGAAGGCTTCATAAAGTCTCTCCGAAGAGGAGGAGGAGCAGCGCTCGCGAATCAGAAGTCAGCATGGAAGGCGAGTTTCTATGGATGCCTGCACATGCTTTTACCATAGATTATTGTTCCTTCAGATCTCGCCACATAATGAAAGGCTTGCTAACGTGCCACCAAAGACAGCTTAAGACAGAAGCTGGAGAGATTTGCTCCTTGTCCTGAATTACCAGCCAGCTGTAAACTACAAGTCCCATTCCACAGCAGGAGGATCACTCCTCCCATTAGCCTTGGCATAGTGCCGACTGCAAATGTGAGATCCGTGGTCGTCAGGAGGCCCAGTTGGGACAAGACCCTCTGTCACTCACGGCGACACATGTCATAAACTCATTGTCTTGCCATCAATCCGGGGACCTAACCACCTCCACAGCAGATGGAGACCCAGCAGGAAGACAAGGGGCCATGCCCTGAGCCTCTGCCCCACACAGAGTGCACGCGGCGGGAGTAAGAGGGGCCACAACTATCGGGGAGCCCCATACCCTGGATTGGACCTCCTGTGGCTACACCTCTGGATGAAGTCCTAATGTTGTCCATGATTAATTAGAGATAAATGTAAATACGCCGTTACTGCTGTGTAAGGAAACTGACTCGCTCCTGACACGGCCTATTGTCTAACTATTTAAAAGTTTGTCTCTTTCTTCTGCTTCTTTTTGTGTCAGCAATTACTTTGCATCAATCAGTAAATACATAAAAATCTGGAGTCACAGTGAGCAACATCTCTCCCGACTTGAGGAAATAATAGCGATAAACACGGTCTGTGAGGGATAAAGATGTCTCGCCTCCCCTGAATGGGGACATGTAATGATATTCATAAAGAGATCACCTACTGGGGACACAGGAAAAACTGTTCCTAAGCAACAACGTACACACTCCTACAAGCTACATTCTGGGAAATTTTGACCGGATTGGGATGCAAACAACAGAAAACCCTTAACTAGGCCATGTTATGAGTCTGCTCCCTATGGCTGAGTGTCTGGGTGTCTCGTCTGGCACAGATCCCCCCGACTAATGATACATACTGTATTTCAACTAAAGACAATAAAGAGAACACAGGCAAGCTTGTGGTTTGTTACTAAACCAAATTTAACCATTGTTACTCAGTTCAAAATGAATTTACAAGTCAAATAATATTCATCAAAGGGTAAAGGTCACAGAGGTGGTACCTTTGAAAGGGACAGTTTGGATTCTTTGAATTTTCCCACTAAAATTAGTGTATATGCAGGTTTTTTAAACACGGGAAACGCTTAAAACAGGCGATCGACTCCCATCACTATTGGACCAGAGTCGGGTACACAGCTCTGCAGCAGACAGGTATACCTTTCTGTATTTTTATGCCTCGGCGTCGGTGATAGTCGTGGCCAGAGGGATTATGATTTTTCTGTCCAACTGTCCTATAGTCCGTCCTATTCTTGTGAACACAATATCTCAATAACTACATAGAATTTCTTCATTTTGGCACAAACGTCCACTTGGACTCAACGGTGAACTGATTCGATTTTGGTGGTCAGAGGTCAAGGTCATTGTGACCTTGCATCCACGTTATTCTCGTGGACACAATATCTCAAGGCGGCCTTGAAGTTTGGTGCAAACATCCACCTGAACTCAGGTATGAATTAATTAGAATTTGGTGGTTGAGGTTCAAAGGTCAAGGTCACTGTGACCTCACAAAACATGTTTTTGGCCATAACTTTGGAATTCATGTGGTAATTATGACAACATTTCACAAAAATGTCTAACAGGATAAAATGAAGAGATGACATTTTATATCCAAAAGGTCAGAGGTCAACTCCACTGTGACATAATGTTCTGCATGAAACACTTTTCAACGTCATATCTCAGGAACAGAAGAGAGGACATTTGGTCAGATACTGAATTGGTGACACTAATCTTGGGCGTCCATCTTGAAACTGTGCAGATCATATAGATCTTCTGTGTGCCAGGTTGGAAGTGTGTGTGAAGCATCAGTGTTTTCACAGATGGGGATGGGTAATTCCTTTATTTTTTTTCTGGTGCATCACATTTGACATCACAGACGGAAAACAGGTTAGTAAACTGTAGGAAGCAGCAAGGAGGCCAGTGAAAACGTGAAGGTGTTTAGGTGTTTACTTTTTTAACATTTATATATATCTCACGCAAGGTTTGATCACTGCGTGGGTATTTTTTGATTATATTTTATGGCAGCCAGTCATTACGTCGTACCGACAAAGGGGCTAAAACTATTGCGTCCACCCGGGTTTCATATTTCCAACACTGCCAATTGAAGCCAATCAAAGCTGGAGCTGATAGATACCCGTGACTACTGCAGAGTCATTTGACCTTGGGGTAAATGCCTGCTTAAACCTTTCTGATTAAATAAAAAAGCCAGATGTTAGTAGGTTTTTTTGTCCAGTGGGAAAGGGGACTCTATAGTAGATGTCTGTTTGCACAACCCCAGTTTGCAGAAGTTGCAGGAGTGTCAACACAGAAGCTACGCAATGTTCTGCTGTGGACAGGGGCAGCTGCAAATGTGTTTTAGCCACCTGAAAAAGTCTATATCAATTTAAGTGGACGCTATATTGAGAACATTTTCAATGCTTTACCTTACCGTCAGACAGCTCTTTCCAACTTGGAAAGACCAGGCTCTATTGACAAAAACAGTCATTTTGGCTCGCTATAAAACAGTAGCTGACAATAACACAAACAATATAACTGATCGAGGCAGCTGTAGACCAGCAGCTCCTGTGTTCAGCCATGTTAAATTATTGGTTTTCTCAATGAAGTATGGCTTTGAAGCTAGCCATATAACGGCTTCAGTTCCTTGTTGGAAATCACTGTCTTAAATTGAGGTAAAGCAAAAAATATTCTAAATATAATTTACACTTAAACTGGTATTGATTTTTTGTAGGTGGTTAGAATATATTTTGTTGCTTCCCTCGTCCACAGCAGTACATTAATCAGCCTCCGTCTCTGACTCCAGCCTGCTTCTCCAAACTGGGAGCGTGCCGACTGACATCTACTGTATGTAATACACTGACTTTGGATAAGTACCTCATACAACCCACTTCAAAAAATTCGAACTCTCCCTTTAAGCTCTTTTTAAAAAGACCCGTACAACTTACTGCACGCTAAATGCACACTGTAAAGGTCAAGATTTGGTCAACCCAACTATCTAATTCCTTCTCCCCCTCCAGCACTCAGAGGCCATTCCACATTATCAGTTGATGAGGAAACTCTGATGGCCCCGGTGCATTAAAGAAGTCTTATGTCCATTTAATTTAATTAATTGGTGAGTTCTGCCCTCAAATTTGTATCGTGGGATTACTGAGTGTCAGTTGGGTGAGGAGGAAAATCACAAAGCCAAAGAGGAGAGTGGGAGTCTTTTGAAAAACATGAAAATATGAAACTAGCTCATGAGGCAGTCTGTTGTATTTTCTTCTGAGGATGTTATTTACATCTGGTATAGAAAGGCTTTAGACACTTAAACGCACCGTCTTGCCGCCTTCGCTGCTTCGCGTGCATTTAATGGTGTTAGATTGAGTGTGATTTTTTTGTGGTACTCAAATCTTAAGCGTACTTGCTGTTACCCTCTTCATCTGAAAAGGCCTAAAAACAATTACCGTTCAATAGTGAGTGATGTTTGTTTCTCCCTGTCATTAATTACAGTTAATCAAAGACAGCAGATGACTTAAAAGCGCCTCTCTGCAAAGAGCTCCCAGAGGTCAACTGACAAAACATTATCCTCTGGGTACAGCACTTCCAGGAAAATGATCAAACAACAGCACGAAAAGTAAAAGCAAAAAAAAAATACACATTTTTAAAGGACGGCGTGATAGATCGTCCTCGCAAATGCATCACAAAATTATTAATCAGCACCTCACTACTATTATCTGCTCCACAAATCAACACATTAAGGTGAAAAATGCAGGCGTTCAAAATCCTTATTTTCTTTCCATGAGGACTCGACCATTTATAAAAAGATTAGGGAAGGTAAAGATGCTCCCTTAACTCTAATGTGCATCAGCTTTTGCTGTCACCAAGTGACGAGTCTTTGAACGGTGTGTCTGTGTATCCAGTCCTTTGCCATGGTTGAGCAAGAGGCCAGCAGAAAGGCTTCATTGCCCTCTTGTGGTGAAAACATGTGACATCTATCCTCCTTTGTCAGTCTGCCTTTGAGGAGGCCTTCTATGAATCACAGCATGAATACTGTATGTGAGGATGTTTGTCATATGGAGCACATGACAAGGTAGGAAAGAGAAGACGTGTGTGCAGCTAGAGGGAACTGAGACGTTTCCACTCTTAATTCTGTGCTCGACCTGAGGAGTTGAGTGTTGATTGCACATTTCACAGCTGTAACAGACTGCGGGGCCGTGAGGCAGGTCGGACAGCTCGACAGTGGGCCGACTCCGAGAGGAAACCAACAGTGAGGTAAGTCACAAAATGTCAATGTTTTTTC